CTCGTGGTGCTTCTCAGCCTGCGAACGAAAGCCGACAGGAGCCCGCGGTCGCCACTGGTCGCTGTGCTTCTCAGCCTGCGTCTTTCACGATCGCCTCCTTCAACTTCGGATTCGATCAGAATATGATGACTGGGAAAAGGGCTGGCACTCACTTCTCCAACTTTGCCCGCGTGTGCGCCACAATCGTCCAGGACGGTGATGATGATCTGTTGTTTGCTTGCGAAGTCGGTGCGTCTCGGCAAGGCCTCAGCAAAGCGATGGCTGACGCGGCAGACATCCGGACGAAACCGTTTGGCGACAATGTCTGTTTCTCCGAGGTTGACAACTACCTATGCCTGTGGGGATTCGGCGGTGCTTCTCAGCCTGTCGATGTCTCCCTGCAGGGAGACAAGCATATCCATCACACCCCAATTGGGAGACATGTGGACGCGGCGATCACACGGTTCGATGTGCAAATAGAAGGCCATGGTATAATTCATTTGATTACTGCCAACTTGCACATCGTTTGCGGAGCGAAGCCGCCGTCGGTGCTGACCAAACAACGTGCGGTCAGGCTCCTCCGACTCTACCTGGACAGCCTTCCAGGTCCGCAAGTGGACGCACCAGTTGTCCGCGTCATTGTCGGCGACAACAACCTGACGTCCACGCAGACCCGCGTTGCTCTGCAGCGCCGCGCCGATGACGAGCAGTTGTGGGATGTGTTTGCGCATCCAAGTGATCGCCAAGGTGACAGCGTGGCGGTCTCTGGGGCCACTGCGCAGTTCAAGCCCATCGCTGTTGGCGCATTGTACCAGGACCGTGGCATGCGCAACGATTCCCACGATGCTGTTGCAATCAGCATTACTCTCCCTGGTGCCTCTCAGCCTAAGGAGACAAAGAAGCGGAATATTGCCTTAGGAGATTTCGTCGTCTCCGATACTGCTTCAGACAAAGCCGAAACTGAAGTCGACTGGGAACCCTTGCCAAGCCGTTCTCCTTCGCCAGAATGGCAACCCATGCCGAGCCGCTCGCCTTCGCCGCAGCGCAGCGAGCTTGACGATGAAGTTCATCAGCGCGCGCAGGAAGTGCATCGTGAGATGAGGGAGTACTGGGGGCAGATGTACGAGGAGAGCTACGATCCCAAACTTCTCCATCAGCTCAGCCTTCTGCTTTTCATGGAGAGGGCAGGCGCTGGTGCTCCTCAGCCTGGCGATGACTGCGACGCAGCCTATGCGTCGCAGGAAGAGACTGCTCGGGCCATTCAGGCTGTTCTGCGGATCCGCCACGACTTCCTCCGAAGCCAGAACATTACGAACATGTGCCATGTCCTTACTGAGGAGGAGCGCGGGGAACTTGTCAAACGTGCTCGAGAAAAGTGCGAAAGTTCTGCCTTCCAGGTTCAGCTGCAGAACCGAGATGCCGAGAAAGGGAAAGCGAAGGGAAAAACGTCAGCACAGCAGGAACGCGGTGCTGATCAGCCTGCGAGCAAAGGCAAGGGGAAAGGCAAGGGCAAGGGACAAGGCATTGGCAGCCTCCGTAAGTTCATCAGAGAGCAAAAGCGCAAGCGATGGCGTCGGCATCTGCAGCGCGTTTCCGGGGCGAAGCAGATCTGGGAGGTCCTCGCCTTTTCCGGCCGCTTCGACGTTGACATGCTCAAGCGAGCCTTGCGCGTCGAGCCCAGTGATGCACCCGCAGAGCTCGCCGATCGCAACCAGGTCTCTCAGGAAGAGCGCCGCCGCCTCCATCGTGACAAGGCGGAGGCCATTGCGCGCTGCAACGAAGGTGAGCGGCTCTATCGCCATCGGCAAGAGGTGCAGCGTCGCGGTGCTAGTCAGCCTGCAGACGATGCCACTTTCACTCGCAGGCAATGGGATTGTACTGCGGAAGTGGGAGAGCGGCGAGTTGCTCAAGAACCGCAATGCGGCGATTGTGGCGCTGGGACATGGTCGTCTGCGCACGAAAGAGGGTGATTACCTTGACATCGGCGGCAGCGCCGGAGGTGGACCCCGGCGCATCATCGATTCTTGGCAGCCTCCAGATTGGCGCGATTTCCTGGAAGACGAGCGCGAGAGGTGGTGGATCCAGGCCTGCTTGCCCGCGGTGCTTCTGAGCCTGCGGTGTTGGAATGCTACTTGCAAAAGTGATTCCCTGCGCGGCCGCGCACAGCTTCTCTGCTGAGGAAGACGAGGAAGAGGAGGAAGCGAGGGGAGAGGGCGCGCAGGAGGAAGAGGAGGAGGACGGGCAAGAGGAGGGCGGAGGCCGACGAGGATGAGGTGGAAGAGGAAGGGGGGCTCTGTCTGCCAGTCTGTGCGGTGCTTCTAAGCCTGCAGGTTTGCCTCGCTTTCCTCTTTTGTTCGTCGCCAGACTGGCGCGATCTAGTTCCAAAAGTGCTGCGCTGCACGGCCGTCTTCAGCCTCTGTGCTGACAGGGCGAGGAGGAGGAGGAAGACAAGGGAGATGGCGAGCAGGAGGGGGAGGAGGAGGGGCAAGAGGAGGGCGGAGGCGAGGGAGGATGAGGTGGAAGAGGAGGGGGGGCTCTGTCTGCCAGTCTGTGCGGTGCTTCTAAGCCTGCAGGTTTGCTTCGTTTTCCGCTTCTGTTCGCCGCCGGGCCGGCGTGATCTAGTTCCAAAAGTGATGCGCTGCACGACCGCGTTCAGCTTCTGTGCTGAAGAGGACGAGGAGGGGGGGGGAGAGTAGGGGGAGGACGAGCAGGAGGAGAAGGAGGAAAAGGACGAGGAGGGCGGAGGTGGAGGAAGATGAGGTGGAAGAGGAGGGGGGACTCTGTCTCTGAGTCTCTGTGGTGCTTTTAAGCCGGCAGGGTTGCCGCGCTTGTTCGCTTGTGATCGCCGCCAGACTGGCGCGATCTTCGAGAAGACGAACAGGAGAGGTGATGGATCCAACTCTCCATGCCCGCTGTGCTTGTCAGCCTGCAGTATTGGAAGACTACTTCCAAAGGTAATGATCTGCTCGGCCGCGTTGGCGCGGTGCCTGCGAGTGTCTGCGATGCTTCTTAGCTTGCAGCTTTTGCCCGTTTTCTCGCTCCGTACGCTGCGCTCATTTGTGCTCCTCGTGCGTGCCCGAAAAAAACATGCCGAAAGAACGCAGCCATCAAACGCAGCATTCATTGATACATAAGCTCTACTTTAAACAATCATGGTCATCACCACATCATCCACTTCAAACGCTTCCGTGAGCACGCAGTGAACGTAGATACCAGAGTCTCATTTGAAACTGCATTCGTTGATGCCGAGTGCTTGTTTAAACTCACATCCGTCGATTGCAGACTTTTGATGCCAAAGTCTACAATGAGAGTCCGAGTTGAATATTAATGAAATCGCCATCTGAATCTAAATGATGGTGCACGCATGTATGCTTTTACACATCGCTGTTCGGTTGCTTTGCTGGGATAATTGGACGTTGGTATATGACTGACAGTAGTTCATTCGAGGGGTGAAGATCTTATGGTGCCCGTTCCATTGGTGAGTTGGTCAGATGGCAGCGTTCGCTCGTGTTCGTGGATCTGTTGCGTGCCAATTGCGGCCGAGGGGGGAGCACATTTCGGTGGCAGTTTCTTTCCATCAGCTTTTGAGAAAGGTGGCCATTCTTTTTCGTAGTGGTGCTCCTTTTAGCTGGAACCCTAGCCAAGGGGTGTGGCTTGCGGTCGGTGCTGTCCCCGAATGTATTAATCGCTTCGCTCATTCCGCCGGCCCATATTGTCGCGCCGTTGTGGGCTAGCCGAGTTTTGGGGCCTCTTGGGGGCCGTTTTGGGGCCTCTTGGGGCCTCTTTTGGGCGTTTTGGGCGCCTCTTGGGGCGTCTTGGGGGCCTCTTGGGGGCCTCTTGGGGCCTTTTTGGGGCCTCCCGGGCGCCTTCTGGGGCGGAGGGCTCGATTTTTCAGTTCTCGGTTCCCCTCTTCAGCCCCTCTTGGGCCCGCCTTGGGGCCTCTTGGTCCGTCTTGGGCGGCAGTTGGGCCGTCTTGGGGGCCCTCCTGGGCCGTTCCGGGGCCGTCTTGGGAGCCTCGTGGGCCGTCTTGGAGCGGTCTTGGGGGCCTCTTGGGCCGTCTTGGAGCGTCCGGAAGCCGAAAAAACCAGAACGCAAAAAACATAGAAAAAAACAATGAAAATCAACGATTTTGGCCTCTTGGGGCCCTCTTCGGAGGCCTCTTGGAAGGCCCTTGGGGCGTCTTGGAGGCCTCTTGGGCTGTCTTGGGGCCCTGTTGGGCGTTTTCGGGCGATCTTTGGCCGTCTCGGGGCCGTCTTGGACCGTCTTGGAGGCTTCTTGGGGACCTCTTGGCCCGTCCTGGGGCCCTGTAACAGAACTCCTGCATCTCTGGCCCGACCTTGCCGGGGACTTGCCGGGACCTTGCCGGGGTACTTTTCGTCCGGGGACCCCCAGGGGCCGCCCCGCGCGCGCGAACTAAAAATACAGTTAACCAGGTGCCGGAGATCTTAGCACGCCCTGGCCCGTTGGGCCGGCGAATTATTGCCCCTTGGCGTTGAATCCGCCGGAGGCCACCATGCAACTTGCTTGGAGTTTCATCATCTCCGCTTTCTGTTGAAAGCGCCTCTCTGCATGCGTATACATTTATTTATGTATGCATATGCATACACATATGCATGTGCGTTCTTATGTTTGTGCGTATTAGATAGATATCAAGGCTATCGATGTCTCTCCCTCTACCCGCATACATATATATACACATGTCTATATATATATATATATGTATATATATATATATATATATGTATATATATGCTTTTCCTTCTATCCGCTAGCAACCAATCTTCTGGCTTACCGATACGTACAAATATATACACCCTTGAACCCTCACCCTCTTCATTACTGCCTCTTCGTTTCCAAGGCTTCGCGTACGCAAGGCGTGCCATGCCAGTTGTCAATTTCCAGATGTATATGCGGATGCCGTGTTTGCGCATGTGTTCCGGTTGCAGTGCCATGTCTGCTTGGCTGCGCATGTGTTCCGTTTGGAGACCTCCGGCCGTTTTGTTTGCTATTGCGCATTTGAGGTGCTTCATTTTCGAGTTTATGGCGGTCTACAACTGCACCCAGTGCTTGATCAATTGCTATTGTTGTGTGCAGTTGTGTCTGATAGGTCGCATTGGGAATTGGGCAGGCGGTTGCATCTTTTGCAGAAGGCAAGTTCAGGGGGCGTGTGTAGAGCACAATAGTCGGAGGGGCTCATACCGGCAGAAAGTATCGGGGTACGCTCGGGGGCAGGCAAAAGCAGGCGATAGTATGAATCAGCTCTAGTGACCTGCGTTTTACTGGATGATCTCGGGTGGTCATCGCTTCTTGTCGGCCGTGGTCAGGCTTGTCTACTGCTTGCAGCATGATATCACGGGGGAGCGCGCAGGCAACATCGCACGCGACACCAGCACACGACGGACGGGTCAAGTATATCGACGGCAGTGGTCATAGGCATCGCAGCAGGGGCCGAGCACCAGACGCCTCAAGCATTTCGTCTATATTGAACAGCATTACAAGGTTACCAGCCACGGTGACGGGAATCATACTGACGATGGTGATGATGCTGGTGATGGTGATAATGATGGTGATGATGATGGTGATGGTGATGGTGATGTTAGTGGTGGGGGTGGTGGTTGTGGTGATGATAATGATGTTGATGAGGAGGATGAGGAGAAGGAGAGGAAGGAGGAGGATGACGTGGGGGGGAGCAGGAGGAAGAGGACCGCAAGGAGGAGAAGTAGCACATCCAGGAGGGGCACGAGAAGGAGGATACCGAGGACGAGGAGGATCACGAGGAGGAGGAAGAGGATGATGCGGATTCGTCCTGTGTATTGTCATCAGCCATGCGCCTGCCAACGAGGAGGAGGAGGAGGAGGAGGAGGAGGAGGAGGAGGAGGAGGAGGAGGAGGAGGAGAACCAGTGTAAACCCAAGACTCGTCAACGATGTTGCAATAACCTCTCCCTCCAAGTTCCCTCTTCACAGGTCCCTACAAGGGCTTGTTTTCACCGAGGGGATTGCCCTGATGGGGGACAACCGATCGGAACACCTTGAGCCGTGCCAGAACACCATTCCTGAGACTTTAACGCCGCAAATCAACGTTACTGTTGCGTGCTGACGATTCTGAAGTGTGCCATAACATCGTTCGCCTGACTGCAACACCGCGAACCAACGTGACTGTTGCGCCCTGACAGTCCTACCTCGTGCCGAAAAAGAATTGCTGGGACGTCAACCATAAGGATTCTTGAAACTTGTGCAAGCTTTGAAGACGCATGTGCGTTGGGCTACGACGAGAGCCACACTGTGAAACGGATACTTCCCTCCATCCGTGAAGCTCTTGTACAAGTTGAAGGAGAATGTGCGCGGCGCCAAGGCGAGAGCCAAGCTTTGAACAGATGCGAGAGCCAAACTTTGAAAAGATTCCGCCGTCCATCCGTGAAGCCTTGCAACCTTTTGAAGCGAATGTGCGCGGCGGGAAGGTGAGAGCCACATCTTGGAAACGACCTGCCTTCGTTGTAGTTGTATGGATGGGCGGGGGATGGGCTTGGCAGAACGATCCGTCGGAGTATCTGGATGGTGGAGGGGGGAGTAGACGGCATTCATGCGAGCGCTCGGCTGCTTCCCCTGCAGCCCGTCGTGGACCGAGCACCTTGATGTTTTGGCACGAGCAGGTTTTCGGATCACCGGTTGCGACACTGCCCGGTTGCTCGAAAATCCCGTTTGGATCCATGCTGCAGGTGCAGCACCCTGGGGCTCCGAAACGACCCAGGAGGGGCCCCCCTGCGGCCCCTCCGAGGCCGTCCTGGGCCCCTCCACCGCGGAGTGGGAGCGCTCTCCCAGAGGGCTTCCGTGGCGGTTAGAGTGCAGTCACGCGAGGGAGCGCGCGCGTGATCTACCCATCACTGCTCCCGAGGGCCCTCTGGAGCCCTCGTCGCGTCCTGCCGGGGCCGTTCCTGCCTCGGAGGCCGAGGGCCCGCAGAGGGCCCCAAGCAGCGTCGCAGTGCAAGTTCAGTCATGCGCGAGAGCGCCCGCGCGACGATGACGACTGTGATGGTTGTGATTACAAGTGTGGTGATGGTGGCGATGATAGCGACGGCGATTATGATGATGCTGTTTGTGATGCTGATGATAGCGGCGGCGATTATGATGATGCTGATGGTGTTGATGATGATGCTGATGATGATGCTGATGCTGATGCTGATGCTGATGATGCTGTTTGTGATGGTGATGGTGATGGTGATGGAAGTGATGCAGCTGACGAAGATACTGATGAAACCAATAATGATGACGATGATAATGGTGATGCTGATACTGATGATGATGCTGATGATGGTTATGATGATGGTAATGCTGCTGGTGATGGTGATGGTGATGCTCATGGTGAATGATGATGCTGCTGATGATGATGATGCTGATGATGATAATGATGATGATGATGATGATGATGATGATGATGATGATGATGATGGGGGTGGTGGTGGTCGTGATGATGATGACGGCGACGATTTTGAGACATATTCTGAGTATTATGACTCCTTTGTACGGTGACGATGCTCATGACGACGCCGCTGACAGTTAGGATTCTTGTGCTGATCATAATGGTGGTGCTGATGATGCCACTGTTGCTTGCGACGACGATGCTTGATATTATGACGATAATGATGGTGGTGATGATGATGGCGATGATGCGGATGAGGATGAGGATTTCGATGGTCGGGATGGCGTCTGTAACAATGGTGATGATCATGAGCTTGACAGTGAGAATGCGTTTGACTCCTTCTGCTCTTCGGTGGGGCGACCGCAGTCGCAGTGCATACACTAGAACTCGATCGCGTGCGACGCGCGCGCGATTGTTGTAGTATATATACCTATCGGGAAAAGGGCGGATGATGATCACGGTGACGTTGACGATGACGTTGTTGATGATGTTGATAATGCTGGTGCTCATGATGGTGATGATGACGCCGACGGTGATGATGCTATTGGTGACGATCGCTGTGATGGCGATGGCGATGGCGATGTCGATGACGATGATCATGATGGTGATGCTGTTGCTGCTACTTCTGATGGTGATGGTGATGGTGAATATGTTGGTGCTGATACTGCTGATGATATTTATGTTGCTGATGTTGACGATTTTGACGATTATTATGCTGATGCTGATGATGATCATGCTGATGGCAACGGTGATGATAATAATGATGATGCTGATTCGAATTTTCATGATGAGGATGAGGATGTAGATGCTGATGATACTGGTGCTGCTGCTCATGCTAACGATACTGATGCTGATGATGCTAATAATGCTGATGATGGTAACGACGATGGTAACGGTGATGATGATGATGCTGATGATGATGATGATGATACTGATAACGGTGACGATGTTGATTCGGATGATGAGGATGATGATGATGGTGGTGATGATGATGCTGATGATGCTAACGATTATGGTGATGGTGATGGTGAGGATGGCGATGATGATGATGATGGTGTTGATGCTGCAGATGATGATGGTGGTGATGACGATGATGATGGTAGTGGTGATTGTGATGGTGATGGTCAGGATGCTGCTGCTGCTGCTGATGATAGTGACGATGATGAAGGTGATGATGATGCTGATTGTGATCCCGATGTTGACAATGCTGACAATGACAATGATGATGATGCTGATGGTGATGCTGATGAGGATGATGCTGATGATGATGATAATGATGCTGTTGATGCTGATGTTGATGATGATTGTGGTGCTGATTGTGATTTCGATGCTGCTGATGATGATGCTGATGATGATGGTGATGATGATGATCTTGTCGATTATGATGGTGAGATTTGTGATGATGGTGATGATGGTGGTGATGATGATGCTGCTGATGATGCTGATGATGCTGATGATGCTTATGATGATGACTGTAGTGTTGATTGCGATGATTCTGCTGATCGCGATGATGAGGATGATGATGAGGATGATGATGATGATCTTGACGACTATGATGATACTTGTGATGATGCTGATGATGATGATGCTGCTGATGATGATGGTGGTGATGATGGTGCTGATAATGCTGATGATGGTGATGATGATGCTGATGAGGTGGATGATGATGATGATGCTGATGATGCTGATGATGATAATGCTGATGATGATGCTGATGATGATTATGGTGATGATGATGACGACGATGATGATGATGATGATGATGCTGATGATGATGATGATGATGATGATACTGATGATGATGATGATGATGATGCTGATGATGATGATGATGATGATTATTATGATGATGATGCTGATGATGATGACGATGCTGCTGGTGTTGCTGCTGCTGCTGCTGCTGATGATGATGATGATGATGATGATGATGATGATGATGATGATGATGATGATGATGATGATGATGATGATGATGATGATGATGATGATGATGATGATGATGATGATGATGATGATGATGATGATGATGATGATGATGATGATGATGATGATGATGATGATGATGATGACGAGGAGGAGGAGGAGGAGGAGGAGGAGGAGGAGGAGTCGCGAAGAGGTGCGGCCGCTCTGGGCCGTTGGGCGTCCTTCCCACCGCAGCGGGAGGCGGCACCGTCGGCACGGACGCGGCGTCGCAGGACGAGGCGGGGAGGGGTGCGAGAGGCAGGGCAGCGACGACGACGGCCACGACGACGAGCGCCACCACGACGGCGGCGTCGGCGAGGGCGAAGACCAGACCCCCTCGAGTCGTGACAAAAACAACGACGGGAGTTTTTTTGTACTCTCCAATTTTCGGCCTCTGTGGGCCCTTGCCGGACTTCGGGATCGTCAGACAACGCCTCAGGATGAAGAACGGGTCCCTGGGGAACGGGTCGAGACCCCTGCTGATCGACGTTATGAAGAAATCGTGACGGCGGGGGTCTGGGAGGTCGAAGGGGATTAGGGGACCAGGCGGTGAAGTTTGTCAGGCAGGCGAGCTCCTTCTTGTCGGTGTTTTGTCTTCGACGGCTTTTCTTCCGTCCCAGCTTCACATGCCAGACTTGTGGACGTCGTTCCGATGTGCTCCGGGGGAGGAGCTGGCGGGGGAGGAGGATAGTGCAGGGAGGGAGGGAGGGGAAGGGAGAGGGGCAGGAGGGGGAGGAGGGGGCCCGAGGGAGGATGGATCGGGCGGGGTGAAGGATGTAGCAGGGAGAGGGGGTGAGGGGGGAGGGAGCAGGAGGTGGAGGACCTGTGGAGGACCTGGGGAGGGGCGTGGAGCACAGGGATAACGGATGATGATGTTGTTGCTGCTGATGATGATGGCGACAGTGGTGATGTTGATGATGATGCTGATGCTGCTGCTGATGATGATGACGACGATGATGATGCGCGGCGATGATAATGATGTTGATGATGATGATGATGATGATGATGATGATGAGGATGAGGATGATGAGGATGAGGACGAGGAGGATGATGAGGCTAAGGATGCTCAGGATGTTGACGATGGTGATGATGCTGGTGACGATGCAGATGATGCTTGTGATGATGCAGATAATGATGAGGCTGCTGCTGATAATGATGATGCTGCTGATGATAATGGTGATGCAGATGATGCGAGGTTTCGGCGATGATGCTGCTGATGATGATGCTGATGATGATGTTGATGATGATGACGATGATGCTGATGCTGCTGCTGGTGATGATGATGAGGAATATGATGCTAGTGATGCTGATGCTCATGCCGAGGATGATGATGATGACGATGATGATGCTGATGATGATGCTGATGATGATGATGCTGCTGCTGATGATGATGATGATGATGATGATGATGATGATGGAGCTGGTGCTGGTGCTGGTGCTGGTGGTGGTGGTGGTCATGATAATGGGGGTGGGGATGATCAAATTAGGGCGATGAGGATGACACTGACGATGACGATTCTGATGATGCTGCATGTTATGATGGTGGTGGGCATGATTGACGATTGTGTTCTTGATGGTGGTGGTGATGATTGTGGTCGTCATGGTGTAGGACGAGTAGGAGGAGGACCAGAAGCGGGAGCATGAGCTGGGTAACCAGGAGTAGGGTCGTGGGCAGAAGAGGCCGAAAATAGAGGAACAAACTATTGAATCACTTCGCTCATTCCGCCAGCCCATATGTTGGTATATGTTGGCGTGTTCGTGGTGAGCGAGGAGGAGCAGGAGGAGTAGGAGGTGGAGGAGGAGGAGGTGGAGGAGTAGGAGGAGGAGGTGGAGGAAGAGGAGGCATTTGTCGTTCTCTTGGGAAGGCTCTCGGGGGCATGTTGGCGGTATTTCGGGGACCTCCTGGGGCGTCACGGGGGCCTCTTGAGGGTCTCATCGGGCGTCTCGGGGGCCTCTTGGGGGCTTCCTGGGGGCCGTATAGAGTATGTTATTAGTTCCTACTCCTGCTGCTCCTTCCTCCTCTCTCTTGCTGTCCTGTGCCTTCGCCCCTTCCCGTTTCCACCCTTGCTCCTCCTCGCGCCGCTCGGAATGTCCAGAGCTCTCGGGAGCTTCTTGGGAGCTCTTGGGGGCCTCTTGGGAGATTTTCCGAGGCGGTCTTGGAGGGCTCTTGGGCCTTCTGGGACCATCTTGCGGCCCTCTTGGGCTGCTTTGAGGCCCTCTTGGAGGTCTCTTGGGCTGTCTTGGATCGATTTTGGAGGCTGGGCCCGACATCTCCGTTCGGGTTCCCCGTCCGGGGGCCATTTTGGGTTGTCTTGGAGGCTTTTTGGGCCTCGGGGCCATCTTGGGCCGTCTTGGGACCTTCTTGACGCCCTCTTGGGCCGTCTGGGGGCGATGCTGAGGGCCTCTTGGGCTGTCCTGGAGCGTCGGGAAGCCGAACAGGTGAGAACGCCAAAATTGTTCAAAAGCCCAAGGGAAATCAATGATTGTTGTGTCCTGGGGCCCTCTGGAGACGCTTCTTGGAGGCGTCTGTAGGCGTCTTCGAGGCGTCTGCGGCCGCGTGGAGGCGATCTTGGGCGTCTTGGACCGATCGGTCGGCGACTCGGAGCCCTCTTGGACCACCTTGGGGGCCTCTTGAGACCCTCCTGGAGCGCTCTGAGGGTGAGGAAAACCGCCCCAGGGAGTTCCGGCATCCTTGTGCAGACCTTGCCGGAACCCTGCCGGGAGTCCGCCGGAACCTTGCCGGAGTATTTGTCGTCCGGGGACTTCCGGGGGCCGCCCCGCGCGCGCGAACTAGACATACCGTGGACCAGTTCCCGGAGATCTCAGCACGCCGCTGGCCCGTTGGGCCGGCGCAGTTTTGTTCTGATGCGTTGAAGGTCTGGGTCTCGAGCCGCACCTCTCGGGCGGGGCGCGCGAGGCCCTGGGCGAGCCGCGGGACCACGCCATCGGCAGGCAGGTCTGGCTGCAGTACCACTGCCGGCAGCTCGAGCTGCTGGGCCAGCGGGGGTTGGCCGTCGTCGTCGTCGTCGTCGTCGTCGTCGTCGTCGTCGTCGTCCCCGCCGCCGCCGTCGTCGCCCGCCGCCGCCGTCGTCGTCGTCGTCGTCGTCGTCGTCGTCGTCGTCGTCGTCGTCGTCGTCGTCG